AGCCGCAGGTTGTCGATCCCCTCTTGCTTCGGACGCAAAGTAGACTCTAAAACGTAGCAGGGGGGGGGGGGGGAATTCCCCGTGGGCCGATGTGTGGACGATCAAATACTGCGCTCTGACTGCTTCACGGCGGACGTTAAAGATGCCGCGATGTCGTTCGCAAATGGGGCAGGGCCGGCGAGTTTGACGGCATTCAATTTGCCAAATTCGAGAAAGCACCCACAATCACACTGTAGTTGGGATGGCACACACGGCACCATCGCCGCCTGCTCCTCTTACAACCCACCCCCCTCGACTGTGATAGCCTTGGGAACCCCTGGCCCCGACGTCCTTGTAAGGGCCGGGTCCAGTGGGTCAGTGGTGGGAACTCGCACCCTGGCTAGGGAGAGTTAGAATAGCCTCCCCCTAGGCACCCATAGCCGGAGGACCCTGAGTGTAGTCTTGTGTTAGGGCACGTTAGCCCAGAGGCAGTACCCTCCCTAGACAGTGGTGTAGGAGGGCCCTGAGTGTAGCCCTGTGTTAGGGCACGTTAGCCCAGAGACAGTACCTCCGTAGACAGTGGTGTAGGAGGATCCTGATTGTAGTCCTGTGTGAGGGCACGTTAGCCCAGAGGCAGTACCTCCCTAGACAGTGGTGTAGGAGGATCCTGATTGTAGTCCTGTGTGAGGGCACGTTAGCCCAGAGGCAGTACCTCCCTAGACAGTGGTGTAGGAGGATCCTGATTGTAGTCCTGTGTTAGGGCACGTTAGCCCAGAGGCAGTACCTCCCTAGACAGTGGTGTAGGAGGACCCTGATTGGAGCCCTGTGTTAGGGCACGTTAGCCCAGAGGCAGTACCTCCCTAGACAGTGGTGTAGGAGGACCCTGAGTGTAGTCTTGTGTTATAGGGCACGTTAGCCCAGAGACAGTACCTCCCTAGAAAGTGGTATAGGAGGACCCTGAGTGTAGTCCTGCGTTAGGGCACATTAGCCAGGAGGCAGTACCCTCCCCAGACAGTAGCTGTCGGTGGACAGTAACCCTGAGTGTACTGGGACTGTACTGCCGAGCGAGGTGTTTTAATAAACAGTGTTGCCTCCAAGAACCGACTCCGACGCCTCCTGAATCCACAACACTCCACCTGTACCTGTGAACGCCGATATTTGTTTTCGTCGCCGAGGCTGCTTCTTCCGTTACAGGGAGGAGATGCATTGCGCGGCATAGAAAGCGCATCAATTCCACTTAACGAACGCGTGTGTTTAGACGGAAGCAGCAGTGAGCCACTGCTTATATAGCATTTATTTAGAACTGCTTTTTGTGTTTAAGTTGTTGTCCTTCCCCCACCCCACCGCACCGCAAACCTCCCAATTAGCACGTCTAGCCACGTACAGTGTGAAAGAAGTTAAGCATATGTCCATACGAGCCGGTCGGTTCGTCGATGTGGGCCGCTACATCTCGAGTCGGTCGTCACGCACAAGGCTCGTCGATGTCCAGCTACACTTGCTGCTGATGCTAATCATCATCATCATCTCGGGAACTCTCGACCGACCCCCTCTATTCCGGTCCCTGAGCAACATTGCCCCCCTCACGTACAACAGGGAGTTGCAACAACCAGCGAGCTACCGGAGAAGATGAAGGCCAAACACAAGCCTGCCGCCACGGGAAGTTCTGAAACAAAAAAACCCCCGCCTGCCGCACGTCTCCCATCACGAAGACCGACCGCGGCCCAAACAGCCGCACCAGGACTGCTTGCTTAGATATGAGCGACGGTTGGCTACGTACGGTGCAAAAGAAGTTCAGCGAACGTGAGAGACCGGCTGGCGGGAGGAATGGCGGGAAAACTCAGCACCAGAACCTCCAAGTCCCCGTCTTGTTTGTCCGCCTGGCTTCTTCAACCTGGCATGCCATGCCAGTGGTCCTTGCCGAGCAGGTTCCGGACAGGGCAAGGTCTCTGTGTGGCCAACCTCCACTGTTGGGGGGGGGGGGGGGTCTTCGTATGTACCATACGTTGGACTTCTTTCGCACCGTACGTAGCCAATCGGAGGTGCGGCAATCCGTGACGACCGGCACTGGGCGGCTGCGGCACCGTGCAAAATAAATGTCGCACCATTGTTCATGACTGCCCACTGACTTACGTTCAGCGGAACTCTACGGAAAATTATAAACATTATACAGTATCGCCACCAAAGGATGCTGTCGCACGGCTCGGTGATTACGCACTCGCTGAATTCATTAATCAATTGGCTCTGGAGCAACAACCCATGTCGTGATTGCATTGCGAGCTGGTGGGAGACGTGGTTGGTGGGTGATTGTCTTTGGCAGAACGTTTTCTCCAAACGCCCACTCCCCGAGCAAGAATCAAACTTTTTCCAGCAAATTCCACCGCAATAGTACCACCTATTGTTCAAATTTGAACCCTCTTACAGGGCCCATATTATAAATAGTTGACTCTCGCTGTTGGGGTAACTGAGGCCGAACTAGCAGGGTTCATGTGAGGACTTGGTGTGGCCCTGAGGTCATCATCATCATCGTGGCAAAGCTATGTTGCTGTGGAAACCCCTGCGGAGCAGTGGGTCTGAGATTATAGTGCTAATGTGCAATCAGGGCCTGCCCACTCACTCGGGATGGAAGGATTCATCCACTGTGACAATTCTAAGAAGCGTCATCATTCATAAATGATGGACGAACTTGTATTGCGCGCTCTCTCTCCATGGCGTAATGAAAAGTCTCGGAGCGCGTATCCCCCTATCGGCAGCTGTCCCTGTGCAGCACAAAGTAACTCCATGCCTGGCTCGGCGATGTGCATTCGTCTGCTAGCAGGAGGTGATGATTGGTCGTAGACTATTTAGAGGGTGCATTAAAAATAACTAATTTTGTTATGGTAGGAAACTGGGAGAACGTGGATTGAAACCTATGTGGAACAAGCGGGAGGAAGGGACAAAGTCCACAAAGAAAGGTCCCCGGGTTGGGAATCGAACCCAGGTTCTTCAGGCCGTGAAGCGCCTGTGTAAACGCAGCACCATCGTGACGCCATCACGGTTCTGATTTGAATCACAATTTGTATTTTTATTCTGCGTTGCAGCGAGATAGTTGTATGAAGCAATAGATTTGTATAAATGAAGGAATCAGAGGCACATTTAATGATTCTTACACTTAGAATGTTTTCATGTTTTGTGATTGCAATAATTAAATTTTATGAATTAATGAACCAATCAATCATTACACACATATCACTTATCCACCACCCATTTTGACCGAGACACAAGATGTATGTGAACGTAAGGGCAGACTCGAGTTATGTGCGAAGATAAGATACAAATAGCCACAGGCACAAGGCGAGATGGACACCGCACACTTAGTACTGCCTGTATATTTAGCCAAGCACGTGCCATAATGATTTTTTTTTCAGCAAGCCATTAACAAAATGGCTATCCTTGATGTTTAATTTGCATTCCATTTGATTTACTCCATCGTTTGCCAATGGATAGATTAGACCCTTGGGATAAACAAAAAGCATTTGCCTGAACACAGGTCTGTTAAATTGATGCTGCTTATAATAATTATTTCTATTTGTAGAATGTCTCCTATTTTAATAGAGAGACGTGGTTGTGTGTCAATACACCTTGAAATGGAACTTTCTCAAAGCAATGCCTTCCTTTTGTTTGCGGTGTCACTATTTTCCAAGAACATTCAATTTGTAACGAAAGAGACTTAATGAACTCAATATCTGGAGACATTTGCTTGTTTGAGTTTTGCAATAACGGTAAAATTTTCTAGTACGGCCATGGATTTATTTTCTTTTTTTACCTATGAAGGACACAAGAAAGCCTGCAAACATTTGTAAGACCCAGAGACAGAAATGATCGTGGCACATTAAAATGAATTACCTCTAAGATGCTGTACTCTAACATTTTCAATTAATGTACCTGTAAACGTGACAGCAAATGAATCCCTGGTGACCTGTTTATGCAATGCCAATTATACTGTCATATGATTTGTTGGTTCATGAGTGTAAAATATTTTATAGTGTTTGTGCATACGTGTGGTGCAGCGGTTCATACAATGCGCTCTCAAATCCCAGCGACGTGGATTCGATTCCCGGCCACAGGTAACATCAGTCCAGTGATGTCTGAATCTGTGCTGGCAATTGCCTGGTTTGACTCGGGCTTAAACGAATAGCTGGTGTGGCACGAAAACATTCGCACTGGGGACCCAAAGGTGGTCACACCACACACTTGTGCACTGTTCCGGCATTAATAGGTGCCCACTAAATTACTTTGCTCCCAAGGCCTCAACGGTAACACGGGGGGATCTTTAACCTATTTTACATGGCACTCGTCAGAAATCACGGCATTGGTGGTTCACCACTGGGCGAGTTGCGGAGTAGGGGCTAAAACCTAACGGTGAAATTCCTGCATCTGGCTCAAAGCCAAGCAGGACCAGGCGGGGCAAGGCGTTAAGCATCAAGTCTGGACAACTCAAACGTGGCATCACTGTGCTATCTATCCACACACGCGCACACACACACACGTTTCAACTCGTTCATCACGTGAACGAGTTGAAACGGGTTCTGCAGTAGAAAAAAAACAACAACCTGGCACCCCCTGAGCCGTGCTGGGTTGCCTCGGCACACCCACTGCAGAGCAATGCGCTTCTCCAGCAGAGAAGGGGCCCTTTTGTCTTGTGTGTGGGGTGTTGTAGCGCAGCGGTGGTGCAGCGGTGAGCACGCTGCGCTATAAAACTCGGCGACCCGGGTTCGATTCTCGCTCACGCCCAACACCACTGGCGATTATCTGAAACTGGTCATGGGCCTCCCCTAGGTCGGCTCAGCCTCAAATGAGTACCCGGTGCGGTGTGTAAACATCGCCACCGGGGAGACAAAGGAGGTCGGGGCGTGGTGCTGGCCACCCACTCCCTGGTGTGCCGTGCCGGCCTTCATCGGTGCTCGCGAACAGCACTTGCCCCAAAAGTCTGTTCAGCGCTATGCGGGGGATCTTTGTCTTTATGAATGCACGTGTGAACCCACTTTCTTGGGGGAGGGCTGTGCAGACGTGAGACGGGAGGCCAGGATGGAGTCGTGGCCTGCAGACACCGGACTCTCGTCTGCACTTGTCATCGACTGGAGGGCACACAGTCAAACACACACACACAGGTAGTCAGAGGTTGTATTATAGTTGCATTTTTTATCAACCAAAAATATCACCTAGAAATGTTTTATTAAAGTTTATATATATAAACAAACTGCATTAAATAACGTTATCGTATTAGTAAATATAAATAGAACGGGTGATAAAATATATACAGTAAAACCTTGGATTGTGAGTAACTTGGTCTGCGAGTGTTTTGCAAGACGAGCAAATTTTTTAAATAAATATTAATTTGATAAACGAGCGAGGGTCTTGCAATACGTGTAGTACGTATACGCTTTGTCTGCCGAGCGTCACGTGATCACAACTGATATATGAGTGCTTTGGATTACAAACACGTTTCCGGAAAGAATTATCGTCGCAATCCAAGGTTTTACTGTAACAGGTAATGTATTGGTAAACGGCTCTTCTTCAAAGCACATTAATCACGTTATAATGAAGGGCAATAGTTGCCCAAAAAGTCGCCTATTATATATTACTACTTTTACAGCATTATTGTCTAATGTATTGATGCTTTTTTGTTAATATATAAAGAGGTGTCCTTAAACCGAGGAAAGCCTCATCGAGCCTCAACATATTTCACTGAGGTCCGACGTTGGTAAGTTTGGCACAATTACCGGTTGAGTGGCGAGCAAGAGAAAACTGGAATAGCAAGAAACACCCCAAATTACAATCGCATAACCCTCACGTGACCTTACAGGTAGGGAGGCTGCCTACTTGATGTGCTGCCATCTGTAGATTAAACAGTGGCACAGCATGTGATGATCCACCATCGACCCTCATCTGTGTCATTCACCTACCTCGCCTCCAAACGGTAATATTAATACAGTACACATTTGGAATTTGCACAAATTATTATCGGGCAAGGCTATCACAACAACAACAACTGCCGTTCACCAACAATTGGTGGTGACATCACCATGGCACTTGTGCCAGGCGAGGTGTACCTTGAGGCAATTTGATGTGTCTAAGGTCACAGAACACACCCAGGTGCCATGGGTTGACCAACTGAGATGACTGGCAGATACACCACCTGTGCTCCCCACTGTGCCAACTTGTTGCGCTTTAGCCACCTGGCGCTCCGCTCATTGTTGTTGTTGTTGGACAGCGACTGCCTCTAACTGCCCAGTAGCGTCCTTCACGAACCTCCTCTTGAGGCTGATCTCGAGACCGCTGGTACCGGTTAACGCGCAAGTCCAATGAGTTCCACATTCATCTGTACCACATCAGTTCATCTCTTTTTTCTAGCCCATGCCGCGCCCCTTTTAGCTCCCTCTATCAACCACAAAGGTGCTGTTTTCACAAGTCTGTATAGTCATCTAGTAGGGTGGGTGACCCGTAGTATTAACTAGGGTGGCCTCTGTGCTCTAACCGTGAACCTCTGTGACAGGCGGCAAACGCGCCACCGTGCGGACATATTCACTGCCCCACAGCGCTGCACCGTTACAGGCTTGCACCACATCGCCAGCTGATTCTGAACAGTGTTTCAAAGTATTCTTGGTTTTTTCGGTAAAGTCACGTTGAAGGGAAACAACAAAATAATAAAATATATATAAAACAATTAAAAAAATTCTCACGACGTTTCGACCATAACTCAAACGGTCATCTTCAGGTGTGAAGATGACCGTTTGAGTTATGGTCACGTAAAGTCACGTTGAAGGGAAACAACAAAATAATAAAATATATATAAAACAATTAAAAAAATTCTCACGACGTTTCGACCATAACTCAAACGGTCATCTTCACACCTGAAGATGTTTTATATATTTTTTATTATTTTGTTGTTTCCATTAAACGTGACTTTACCGAAAAAACTAAGAATATGAATTACTGCAGTCACGAAAGCTTTAAATCAAAATTTAATTTTTCAAAGTTTAACTTCCTTAAGGCTGCTGGAGGAGGAAAACAATCCGTAGTCATTAAAGCCTAAAACAAAAAAAATACTTGGGGAAAAAAAAGCCTATGTTGTGCTTGGCAACAAATGTATTTTGTGTGTAGGTTACACAATGGGCAAAGGAGTCACAAAGCTGAAAACATTGGTTATTGTGTAGCCTCAGGACCTTGTGAGAGGAATACTAAACAAAATGCATATTACTCTATACCAAAAAATAACCTACACTTTACGATAGGTATCGTCTGCCTATTTAATTTCGGTGCTTCTACCCTCCACAGCGATGATCGTGATTATGTTGTGCCACGTATTGTGCCTTTTTGCGTCGATCATCCGCCAGCAAACATCTGGCAGTTTTACCAGCGTTGATTCGAGCAGAGTCTGACTTCTGAGACGATGAATGCCGACACCAGTCCAAAGTGCTTGTGTCGAACCGATGCGGCCGATACTATACACTCGTAGAAGGCCATGTGGCTGAAAGGATGTGTAAAAAAAATGTTTTTAAGCGGAAGGACAAATATGGGAAGGAGGCATATGGGCTGCTTCTTTATTGCTTGCTAGCTGTACTACCCGGCTTCGCCCGGGACTTGGATCCACCACGCCCGGCCGCCTTTGTCTCCCCAGTGGCGATGTTCACACACCACAGCAGTTACTCGTGTAAGGCTGAGTCGACCTAGGGGAGGCCCAGGAGCGGTTGAAAGAATCTTCACCGGTGGTGGCCGTGAGCGGGAATCGAACTCGGGTCGCCGGGTTCGTAGCGTAGCGCAGCGTGCTAACCACTACACTACAATGCGTTACACTTCCACATGCGCGGGTCACGTGACAGATTTGACGTCAATGCTCACTTGCCGTGCAAAAAATCTATGCATTATTGAGCTCCCCTCCACCAAACAAAACACAAAAGTGTATTTTTATATTTTTTGCATGGTGTAGAGTTTGGAAAGTACCCACATGGCAAATTTCAAGTTTGTTGCATGTCGGGAAGTACGCTAAACATTTTGAACAGACACACATCCACAACTTTGCCTTTTATATATATGGAGATATTCTACACAAAAATGCTAATATAAATTCCTGCAGTCACGAAAACTTTAAGTCAAGATGCTAATGCTTATTTTGTACAATTTATGTTACCGTTTCCTTGCTAAATAAAATGTATTTATATATTGTGTTTTGGGGCTGTGCTGCATCGTGAGTGTACTGTAAATTTTGAATCAATAAATCTATGCATTGGTACATGTTTAGCCTTCATAATGTAAGATTGCATAATTCCCTGCAGAAATAATAGGCCTGCATTGGAATAAAACCATTCACTGCATGTATATTGAGTTAGGATGCTAATAACTCGGCTGCCAAAAACTATTACAATTAGAACTTTCGCATAATGACATTACATGATTTAAGAAATGTAATCAGCGCTACATTTGTGTCATGAAGTTATGCTTGTATACGTCTCATATCTCAGAGTATTGCAATTGTTTGTCTTGGTTTGGCCAAGTCATAACAACTTTTAACAACAAAATACAATTAAATTGCTTCCAATTTCAGCTGGTGAGCAGCAGCAGAATTCGAAATGTTGGCGACATGAAAGATACATACCATAATGCACAACTAATTTGAAATGATTGTGCATCTGGGCATGAGCTTCACTAATCCGCACACGTACAGCAGTCATAATCAGCATCAGCCGTGGTCAATCCACTCCCCAAAGCACTCCCACCTCTTACAATCCATGAGCAGATTTCATAGATAACCTGTTGGATGAGTTCCGTTCCTTGGTTGTCACTCCATTATTCGTTTGATCATCCCTTTGGGGTTAATTAAAGTAATTCTAAGTTGTAAGAAATATTCTTAGTCTCGTGTCCTGCTACCACGGTCGTATGTTCATCTAGCCAACAGACCAACAGGTGCTACATACAACAATATCCACCACTGGCTCAAGATCATACACACAGATGAGCAACATTGCTCACTCATCTGAGCTACGATTTTGCTCGAAGTTTGCCCAGGATGGACTCACTGAGTCTCAAGACTTTTTTCTTCTAGAGGATTCTGCTGAGGATGTTTGGCCAATTCTGTATGCGGTATGTTTGCCTGTTGAAGAAAACTGTAGCACCTGGAGAATGCCAAGACATAACAGAAGGCAACACTTAAAATCCACACGGATAGGTCAAAACGCTACTTGCTGTGCAATTTGTTTTAGTATTTCGCATGGGTTTAAAGATGAAGTATTTGGTTTTTTTTCCCTCTCCAAATAATGGATTATGTAACATAAAGTGTTCGTGCTTTTTTTAACAAAAAAATGTGAGGGCAGAATGAAACGTTATCTCGTGACCACAGAAAACACTGAAGGTGCAGTACTACTATACATATTGAGAAGGCTATTTAAATAATGTTTTTGGTGCTTTCCAATTTTGGTTTTAGGCTACGACTTAAGTGCATAGTGGCCTACGGTAGAGAAGAACGGATGTCACAGGGTATTTAACATCCACTTTACAATGATGGCATGGCTTTTGGTGATTCTCCCCAGTAATAACCAGGAAGAAATGGAAGGGGATTATGAACGGTGGGTTCCGTGGCTCAACAACAGGCATATTCTGACGAGTTAAGTGGCAATAAAACATAACCTTGGGAGGAAAAAAAAACCCCACAACATAACAAAACAATTTCGCAATAATTTTTGTTCGAAAACAGTTTCACAATGCAACATTTGAAAAATGAGACCCACCATCACTCCAATGATTCGGTGCGTAGGTGTATCAATTTATTTGCAAATATGCACGTTTCTGAATGTGCTTCGACTTTCTGCTGAGAACAAATAAAAATCCACTTAAACGCAATTAGTAATTCCACGTATACTGATCATTCTGGGAAAGTCTAGATGTAGTATTAAACATACCCACTTGTATATTTAGTTCTCTATACTAATAAAATCGTGTGCCTGGAAAACATGATATGTTTACAGCCTCTACAGGATTACCATATATATTTTTTGGCAATTCAAACAAAAAAAGACGACCATTGCCATGACACGTTTATTGTCAAAAAGCAGCCCGTGTCGCACACAGCCAATTGTTCTCAACCGAGTTGCTAAATTAGGGTGTCACGTGACTCAGATGCCTTGGGGTATTCAATACTCGGTTGAATGTGGCTATAATCAAACAAAGGACACGATATGAGGACAAAGGGTATAAGCTCAGAGGTGCAATGTATTTTTGCACCATTAGAATGCAGCCGTGGTGGGTGGCTGTGATGTTTTACAAAGACATTTTGCAGGAGGAAAATTTGTTTCACCGCTCGGTTCAAATTTGCGGTTTGTTTCACAATGGGATTTGATTACACGTTTGGAAAAAATATTTAGGTATACAGAAATAACGTCCTTCAATTAGACATCTTAACTCAAGGCCATCTTAATTTACGGCTCCTTTATATTGAAGGAGCTGGACAGCGTATGTGTTACTCTCCCGGGGAAAAGCTGTTCGTCCATCAAACTGAGGGAATTTAAATTATTTTACAAAGACTTAAAGAAACCCAAAGCAATCACGAATACAAATTTGCACACAAATGACCAAAATGTATCAGATCTATATGGCTTTTTTGGCAAGACTTGGCACTACAAGTTTGAAAGATTTATATTAATTTTGTAACGCACACATTACTTCACGAACATGAATGACCGACTCTGTGAAGCGAAGCTGAGTTCAGTGTTGCTCGAAAACCACGCAAGAGAAGTGGGGCCTTTGACTCTCTCTTCAAAGTCGGTGCAGATTGAATGCCGCTGCAAATGTGCAGTTTTATACTGTGTACTGCTGCAATTTAAATGTGAATCGGAACATGCACGTGGGTGTTAGTGCACAACGAAAGGGCGAATGCGTTTGGAGGCTGCATTCACTAACTGTATTGTCAAGTTTATTTTTTTCATGAATGCGTTGAGGATGAGGTTAGAATGTTTCCTTAATATGATAACCAGCCATGATCTAGCGACTGTTGGATAAAGGGCTCCCAAAGCCGTCATGAACTCTCAAAGTCCTGCGATGTAACAAACCATATAGAACCTACACACACAAGCTGGATGGATTGCTAACCTCACCATCAAACTATAATATAACTGCTTCCCAAGCCATGTGAAGAAGATGAAGACGAAGAAGAGGAAGAAGAAAATGAAGATGAAGAAGAAGATGATCGCATCACTCCATCTCCGCAGTGCCCGTCCTCATGACAGTGCTCCCAAGTTTAGTTGTCACTCCCCGTCATTAGTTTTGACCCCAGGTCATTGGCTCGTCTTAGTGACACGAACTGCCCAAGCCCGTTGACTTTCCTTAACAGTCAATGTGATGCATCTAACTTGCATATGGACATATTGGCGATACGCCAATGCAGCATAACACACCGGTCTTCATAAAAAGTCTACAATCAAAATTAGAATCAGCAAATCTGTCTATCAGTCTTTATTGACCCTGTCGTCAAGTTTGCTTGGTTAGAAGGTTTATTCAGTCGACTGAGACTTGCTAAAAAAAAAATCAATACAGTATTCACCGTTGATTTGGGTCCATTCAATGGAGGAACCGCCCGACCAAGTGGAGGGCACGAGTAGTCAAATCTTTGCCTTTGGAAGACGGAGCCAGCCCAATCGTCATCAGGCTGGGTGCTGCTGCTATACGGCAACAGACTATGAAGTCTCGTTGTTCAGCTGCTCGTAAACGTTCGTCGTCCAACCGCTTCGACGTCACGAGGATTCATTTTTAAACACACCGCGCAAGATTTTCTAAACCGCGGTTGCGAATCGGGGGAAAAAAAATATGTTAATGTTCTGTAGTTCGTGAGGTTCCCTCTGTCTCCATAATGCAATTTCAAGTATGCATGCATGTGGTTCTTTTCACACTTCTGAACTTGTGCCCAATTAATCTCTTCACAGTGTCCATGACAACGATGATGATGGTCATTCTGCACACAGCCCCGTTTATAGTTGTCCCACAGGCTAAGGATGGCTAAAAAAACATCGATACGTCGGTAACATCGGTGTTGGGCAGTAGTGTTCAAGATGGCAGCGGCGACGTGTGTAGCAGCGTGTGAGTTGTTTTTTGTGAGTTGTTTTGCGTGAGTGTAAACTGTGCGTAAGTGCGTGAAAATGTGAGTGAGCCATGCGAGTGTGAGCCGTGCGAGTGTGGCCGTGACGAAAGAGACTTCTGCGTTCGTGTGTGTATGTGATGGTGTGGTGATGTGCACTCTCTGTGTGTGTGATGGTGTGGTGATGTGCGCTGGTGTGTGTACCTGGCGCAGCCTGAGTGAGGCCTGGTTGGTCGCGCACGTGGGGCAGCCTGTGTGAGGCCTGGTTGATCGTGCACCTGGTGCGGCCTGGGTGGGGCCTGGTTGGTCGTGCACATGACACTGCCTGAGTGAGGCCTAATTAATCATGCACCTGGCGCAGCCTGAGTGAGGCCTAGGTAATACTGCACATGACACAGCCTGAGTAAGGCCTAGCTGATCGTGCACCTGGCGCAGCCTGAGTGAGGCCTAGGTAGTACTGCACATGACACAGCCTGAGTGAGGGATTTGAACTCACAATTCTAGATTGTGGGTTTGGCATTGAGAACCACCAGATAGGAACAACAGGAAACCATATATGGCCTATACATTAGCACACATTTATTCCACGTGTACACAGGGGCGGAGCCAGGGGGGTGACAGGGTAGACAATTGTCACCCCCGAAAAAATACAAAATTTAAAATCTGAAACATTCTGCGTATAAGTGTACGACACTCGGTCTGGCGAACTCCGTGCAACTGCATTGTCAGAGTGTGTCGCCAACCGATGGCGTCTAGTTCAACAGCCTGACTCTCTAATCATTCTTGAAATTAAAATTTGTTGAATGTCACCCCGGGCTGAAAATCCTGGCTCCGCCCCTGCGTGTAGATAGTTTGGCTAATAGCTGAGCCACACAAATATTTTCAAAAAGAGAATTCCATAGATATTTCTGGCAAATGTCATTGGCTATGATGACCTCTTTACCCTGATATTGTTAAACGTGTGGTGTCAAGGAGTAGGGTAATGTTTGATCACACATCGCCTTATTCACCCAGTTAGAGATTACAGGAGGGATTGACAAGACGGTAGATCTAAGGAAGAAATGCGTGAATGCGATCTCCGCCAGCGTGAGAATTTCATTCGGCTCGTACGCGGGACGGGTGCCATGATACATGTTTTGTGGTGGCGTGGTGAGGTTGTGGTGAGGTTGTGGTGAGGTTGTGGTGAGGTTGTGGTGCGGCTATACGTAGTGATATAATGTGTTAATGTGGTGTGGTGGTGGTCTTGTGTCGTGGTGTGCTAGTACGGTGATATGTGGGTATGGTAATATGTGGCGCGGTGGTCTCCCGGCGCGGTGACACGGGATGCGCAGGCGTGGGCTCCCACCTGCCGCGCGTCGCGGGACGACTGGCTCCCACGGGGCGTCACTGCCTTGTGGGAGTGTGACGGCGATGAGCAGGACATCCGCTCGTCCCCGCTCATCTTGGCTCCGTCTGTCGGTGCCCGGACCCGGGCTTACCGCTCGCGATTCGTGTGAATATATATATGCTTGCGAATATGAGTTCCTGTTTGTGTGCGCAATTTCTTGTGGTGGTGTCTGAATTTCTGCTCACTTTTCGTCTCCACGTTTGTAGCCGTGTCTGTCTCTCGGTCGATTTAAAACAGCGCCTGGATACGATTTAGCATTGAGATGCTTTATAAATGATTATTGTCCACTTTCTTCTTGGCCTCTTTAGACCTGGCTAATTCCTCAAGAGTCTTCCTCCCTTCTTCTTTCTGCCAGTGTATTTATCTCCTTTTCTCTTTTCTATCTGTCTATTGCTGCCCCTCGCTCCTCTTTTCACTCGCACCGTCTCCGTCTGCCTACCTTGTTCGACAATGCAGCACTGCAGAGGTTCAGCTTAGAGGATTCCTTAGTCCCATCCAAATCAGCGCCAAATAAGCAAATTCACAATTTTTAAGTTTCTTTGGAACGATTGCAGATTTCTGCTGACAAGCTGTGCGGAAGGGCAGACGAGAGGCAACACTTGTAGAGCCGAGTTAGTTTGCCAGTTCATTTGTATGCAACGCCTCGAGTCCGCCACCGTGCGTAAAATGTACACACCGTGCGCACAATGATCATTGGCCGAATTCTAATGAAAGTGCTTTCTGTCGAATTGCAGAGAGCGCAACCAGTGGAATTTACCGTCCCGATTCTTGAGCGGTGCCGTTTGCGCAAGCAGGCACTGCGGCATACACGCGTGTGTGTGCGTGTGTGCGTGTTTGTGCGTGTGTGGTTGTGCAGGCTGCTCAAGCTCCCACGAGACTGGTGGGGGGGGGGGGGGATCTGCCTGTGTTGGCTTCACTCAGTATTCTTCTGCCATCCCTGCAGTGAGAAGAGAGAGACACAAAACGAAAACAAATTAACAATCTGGACCGGCGGTACAATAAGTGAGCCTTCAGCGAAAAACAGACGAACAACCATTTAAGCAAGGAATATGGAGCAAACTTAAAGTGCCCTGAAGGGTCTATATGTAGGTGTAAATACAGTTGAATATGATTTGCTTAAATATAATAATTTCTTGCATGGGGTACAAAATAGTTAACAAAAATCCTCCTCGCATAGCCGCATACGTTTCTGTTGATATGGGTATCTTGTATTGCCGAGTGCATGCTTACAAGAATAGATATTGAAGCTTGTATTTTAAACACGTGAAGATTTTACACCACAGGCCTCCACACATCAGTATACTCAACCAGGAAACTGAACAGTGTATGGGCTTTGGCTGAGCAGCTGTGTGGATTCTGGTTCAATATGGAGTGAGGCGATTGATTCGGACCTTGTTAACGGTAACCGAACAAAAGGCACTCATGTGGTTGTTGCACATCGCTCCCTTGAGACCAGCTCGAGTACCTTAGTTTGCAGAGACATCGTACGAAATGCTATACAGCTGAAGATAGCGGGTTAGGCGTTGTGGTTGTATAGGATAAGGATTGCCAGGCAATTGGCTGGCATTTTACATTTTGTAATGTGACGTTTGGCAGCACCTGTCAAACAAGAATCCCTTAATGAAAATGTATTTGTTTCCTGATAGTAGTATGGTTACACTGGACTGTAACAGTACCGTAACTGATAAGAATTTGCTAAAACAAACTCAAACAGGTTCATGTGATATCAACTCCACTACTATGCACAATGTGTGAATGTGTAATCCGGCTACAGTTTTTCAGCCACTACTTACCAGTATTAAAAGCATATTGTTTACTTGCGTAATTCACGTAGTTACTTAGCGGGCATATAGCACCCCGCTATATAAAACCCCTAGAAACAGTACAGAGAAGTGCATATTCCATTGACATAAAGGGTACAGTATTTGCCTAGATACTAGAGCTGCAAACGCTGGTCACAGCATTCCATTTATTTAGTTTAAACATTGAAGCATCTGCAGCACAGCTCTTTTGCAAACATTGCAAAGCGCCTGCATAAAACGTTAAGCCTCGCTGAGAGGGTTGACGTGCTAAGAAAAATCGAAAGTAGGGAAAGTCAGACTTCGATAGCGGCAGTCTTTGGCGTCAACCAGAGCCAGGTATCGAGAATTGCGAGGGACAAAGAGAAAATCCGTAACGAGTGGCGCGCCAGTGCCAATTCCGACCGGAAGCGACGGCGTAGTGGAAAAGCGGGTGCCGTTGAGGAAGCTCTCCTTTACTGGTTCAGGCAGAGCCGCGACAGCATGCTGCCTCTCACTGGCTCACTGCTGATGGGAAAGGCTGACGAGTTGGCAAGAGACCTCGGGCGGCTGGCTCGAGCGATGGAAGGCGCGCAACTCGATTTCATTCAAGCAGCAGCGGCAGCAGGGCAGGAAACGAATAGCGTGTACGCGCGCAGTGGAACACTGGCTCGAGGAAGTCTCTCCAGAGTTATTGAAGGGCTACGCGCCCAAAGACATTTTCATTGCGGACGAAATGGGCCTGCACTGCCGAGCCGTTCCCGCGGCGACTTTGGAAATTGATGCCCGAGGAGCCTTCTGGAATTAAAGCCGCAAAGGACCGGGTGACCCTGTTGCTCTGCGCAAACCTGGACGGCAGCAAAAAGCACCCCCCGCTAGTCGTTGGCACGAGCAAGAACCCACGCTGCTTCAAAAACGTCAAGAAACTGCCCCTGCCACACGAGGCAAACAAACACGCGTGCGTGACGGCCGAACTGTGGAACGGTTGGCTGGAAAAAGTGAACAAGAGCATGCGGTTGCAAAAATCGCAATATCCTCATGCTGTGCAACAACTGCGCAATGCGCAGCGAGGACGGCGCTTTGAGCAACGTAAAGATCGTGTGTCCGCCAAGCAACGGCACGTCTCCCGCACAGCCCGTGAAGGCAGGCATCGTAGAGAGCTTCAGAAGACACTACAGAGCACGAGAGCTCTGTCTTTTACAGACAGAACCAGATCACGGATTTTATGTAATGTGTTGAATCGGACCTGGATCTTGTGTCTATTCGAGATTTTGGAGATATTTTTTGTGATCCCCGCAATGTAGGGTAAAGTGATGGTTTTTAAAGGCTCCTCAAGAGGGTCCTCGACCACATCAATTCCATACACCCAGCCATCAGATTTACCATGTAAGTCGAAAAAGATGGCAAGCTACCTTTTTTGGATGTCCTAATAAAAAAAGAGACCTGATGGTTCAATGAGCCACTCTGTCTACAGGAAAGCTACCCATACGGATGCTTACCTGAAACCGGATTCCCATCACCATCCATCCCAGAAGAATTCCCTCATCAAGACTCTGCACCATAGAGCCCAATGCATATCCGACCAGGAACACATAGCCAGTGAACTCAAGCACGTACACCAAGCTCTTAAGGCTAATGGTTACTCCGACTATACAATCCGCAAAGCTATCACTCCAACCATGAAGAAGGTTGGAGTGATAGCTTTAAAAAACCCGCCACTTTTTCAAATTTTCCTGCTGTGTTTTTCACACCTGATGATGATTGCTTGTGTTACAGTCGAAACATGAGAATTTTATTGTTTTATATTTTTTATTTTTTTATTGTTTCCCTTTTATGTGACTTTACCGAAAGAACCAAGAATATATACTCGTATAGTTGCTGGATAAGCTGTGAAATGGACACGACAGAATGTGCTAAATAATACCAAAGCCAACATTTCTTATCTATTGGTTGGAAGTGGTAATAATCAGGAATGTGATTACAGTACGTTATGTACTTAGCTTCCACGCAGTAAATACTGTGGATTCATATTACGCAATACATAATTTTTTTTGTTTGCTAAAACGTGAAGCCTCTGTGATAATTAAACGCATGCTTTAATAATGTACAGGTGGTAAAGGTGTGACCCTGGAGCTGCTAACGCACGCCGCTACTGATGGAAACGCCTCCACTTGAGCGAACTCTCAAGTGGTATTTGGTCTACTCTACCACATTGATCAAACGTGTTGGAAGAGGTTGGATTTACCGCACCCCACCACACATGAGCTGCCGATTGACTAACTGGTGTCCCCACGTATCCTGCTGGGTCGGCAGAGGTGGCGGGATTTCAAAAACTTGTCCCATAATTTGAACTTCCGCACCAGGAGATGGATCTCGAACACATGACCGCTGTATGTTCACCATTAAACCACTGTGGCAGCTCCCTTATAGAAATGTCTAATACTGAACCACATACATGAAAATAACAGCTGGCTCGTTTATTTTTCAATTACGTGTGCAATGCACTAAAATAAAACCCTACCTGCACTCAAGGCCTTGGCGGTGTCTTTTTTATCATCAAGTTTTTAGAAAAATGCCCAAGAACATTCGCCAAGTCCTACAAAGGCTGCATTGGAACCCAAACGGACCGACTCAGAAGCACACCCACGCAACTACTTGCACATACACGCACCTGTATTCACATTGAACGTTCTCCCATGTAACATACGAGTGGTGTGGCCGGAACTATGCCCAACCACCTTTGTCTCCCCAGAGCCAATCGCCACATCGGGTACTCCATTAAGCCGACCTAGGGGAGGCCCAAAACAAGTTCCGATACAACTTGCTACTGATGTTAGCCATTGCCAGGAACGGAACCACAGCCGCCCTGTGCGTGGTACAATGCGCTCACCTCTGCACCACCGCTCCCCATGTATTCTCATGCACACTCAGGGCTTTGTGTCAGCCGGGTTTGGATTAGTAGGCCAGAAAACATTTCGGCATGCGGAATGCCACGTGCGGTACACCTTTTAATTTTGGCTGCGGTTCACTCGTCTCGAGCCACGCACTACAGTCTGCCAGCTACCCGGAAACCATTGGGTGAGCAATTTCATTCCGGCAAACACTCGTATACCCAGCTCAGGTGAACACAGGAAGACACCGCTATTTCTGTAACAGTAATAACCCAGCCAGGTGGATCAGCGTTCAAGCGAGTGGCTCGTGATTGGAAGGTTGCGAGTCGGCCATTGTGTTTCTGCGTGGGGTTCCACATTTGCCAAATAAAAAAAATTACCCGCAAATTACTGAAATGATTCATTTTGTAAGGTGCATTTCTTCTGTAGAGCCAAATACGATGGGAAACTAATGGGCCTAGGAAAAACATTTTTTTGTTTTGTTTGTATGATAAAATGTTTAACCAGGATATCTTCTTGAATACATATTTTTATATAGCAAGCATAGGCACAGTGTATATACAAAGTGGCAGTCATCTCAACAACGGAGATGAACTTTTCGAGATTTTTGTTCATTGCAAAATCAGCAATAACATCTTCAAGTAGTGTTTTTTGCACAATCAAGCGAGTGAAAGCGATGTCAGTAGCATGGGGCAGCAGCAGTGGCAACTGTAGAGCGTCATCACTTAAGGCCTACGAAACAGAAGTGCCTAGGGCCCGCGATAACCTTAATCTGGCCCTGAGCAGGTGTGATGTGCTAGCGGAAACGGTGGGAATGATTATACGTGGCAATCATCGCCCCTAGGTAACTTACAAATGAGACAATCATCTGCTTTTAATAATACATCAATAATCCGATACCGCACACAGTGTGGTTAGAGCGAGTGCAAGTAGGTGGGGGGGGGGAGGCTAACTGGACTAGGTCCCACACTCAATTTCACTCTCCCTGGCAGTGAATCACTGTTAAAGGAGCTCCCCTGCCCCCCCATCCGAGAGAGGAGCTGGAGCCAGGACTGGGTGATGTCCTCCGAATTCGGCCCTCGGAGGCAGAGAGGCGCCGAGCGAACCAAAGCTGGACTGGCTGAGCACGAGGCGATACTCTGCCATTCAGAGTTCTCAATCGGAATCTCGGGGGGGGGGGCTTACCAAAACCCGATACAATTATATTGTTTGTAACTTCCAGCCATTTGTCAAGCCACACAGATGGATGAAGGCCTTCCCATAACTTT